ACTGCCTGAGAGCAGCACAGGACAGCACCTGGAGCAGGATGGATAGAGTGTCCTATGAAGAGCTAGTGTTCTAGCTGAGGCCTGAAAGATGAGGTGTGGGCTGCAGGCAAAGAGGACAAGGTAGAGTTTTGGGCTCAAAGAGAGGTGAGGGCAAAGGCCAGGAGGTGGGACCCAGCATGGCCTGTGTGTACTGGGGCAAGAGGGTCTGTCTTATAGGGTCTCTCACCAAAGCCATGGCCCCTGAGGGGGAAATGTCACTTCTCCAAGGGGAAGAGACACTCTAGAGGTGGGAGCTGGCACGGACCAGCCCTGTTTGTCCCCAGACCTTCCAAGAGCAAGCAGAAGGGACAGTGGCCATCACCCACCCTGCGGAGCCTCCGTGGGGCGAGACTGTGCACCTGGCCATGGGTCATCCTCCCAGGCCCCTCCAGGAGACCTCCCAGGCAAGGAGGCAGGGACGCTGTAGGCGGAGTTGGCCTCTCAGGCCCAGGGAGGCTGCCTTTGTTTCCTTTTCGGTTATCAAAGCTGGCTCGCTGGAGAAGGTTCAGAAAAATAAAATTTCAGGAGATAACCACTGATAGCATCCATTTCCCTACATATTAAAGTAATCACACACTAAATATTTATACACACGGGAGACTGGCCACACTGTGTGTAGGGGTTAAAATCCTGCCTATCTTCTTCCCAGTGGAACTCAGTAACATCTTGCATTATTAAACACTTCTGAGAACTCTGATCTTTGCCGAGCATGGGGATGCACATCTATAATCCTAGCAGTCTGGGAGGCTGAAGCAGGAGGATGGAAAACTTGAGCCCAGTTTGGGCAACTCAGTGAGACCCTGTCTCAAAATTTAAAAAAAGGCGGGGGAGGTTGAGACCCAGCACCATAAAACAAAACAAGACAAAACACCGAAAAGCAAAGCAAAAAACCCCAAACCAAACCAAACCCGTGTCTGCGCCTCAAGGTCTCAGCTGTGCGCTTCCCTCAGGATTCACCCCAGCCTTCCTGCTGAGCATCTCCCTTCCTTCCATGTCCCAGGGCACTGTGGGCATGCAGGTGATGGCTCTGGCTGCTGGAGACCCCAGAGCAATGTTGGGGTGGTAGTGGGGCCCTGCCCACAGCGAAAGTAGAGCTCATGGGCCCCCATCAAAGCTCTGCACACCCTAGTGCACACATGCCCAGGCTCACAGGTGTGCACAGCCGTGTAATCCTGCTGGCTTATCTGCAAGAGGTGCCTGGGGTGGCCGCACTCTTGAGCTCCAGGTAGGGTAGCAGGAGTCTGTGGACTGTGACCTCCTGGTGCTCCCAGCAAGACTTCATGGAGGGGGCATGGGGGAACAGAGGGTCTTGACTCCTGAGTCACCAGTTAGACCCATGAAGGAAGCGGTCAGCAGGGGTGGCATGTGCATAGGCCCAGAGCTGGGAGGTGACTATCTCTGAGCGGTGCAGGTGCCAGGAGGTGTGGGTGCTGTGGCCAGGCCAGCGTCCCAGGCTGGGCTGCCAGGGAGCCAGAGCTAGAGGCAAAGGAGAAGCAGGCCCAGATCCACGGAATGGAAGTTGTGTTCTGGGCTGAGGGGGCTGCAGCAGAAACAGGGTGTGGGGTGTGGGCAGGAGGAGCTCGAGCAGGGGCTCTGCAGCGGTGAGAGCAGGCGGTGGCAGCGGGGCTCGGTCTGAGGCGCAGCAATGCGACAGCCCATGGGGCCAGGGCCGCCAGCTGGAGGACAAAGGCCGATGGCGATGGCCTCATGCCTGGTCCCGGAGTCCGGGGTGGCAGCCTGGTGGGAGGTGCAGCTGGGCGCTCCGTCCCTGCCACTTTCCTCCTCCCGGCCCCAGCCCAGCCGGACGCCATCCGCCAATGGGGCGGGGGTGAGTTTTCAGGCCGCAAAGAAGGCCGCTGGGGCCTCCGTGTCAACGTCTCGGGGCTGCGCAGGGCACTGCGAGGAGGGTGCTGCCCGCTGCCCACAGCACAGCCCTCCCCTGTGGGCCCAGGTTCAGCCCCACTGAAATGCACGTGTGTGTCGGGGAGACCCAGGCACCCCAGGGTCTGCCTGCCCGAAGCCCGCGTCTCTGGCCTCCCTCGTCTGTAGTAGGGCTGCGTGCAGAGCCCCCCACGTCCAGCCCAGAGCAAGATGTGCAGGGCGTCAGCCCCCCAAGAGCATGGTCCCGGATCCTCTGCCCCCTCGAGCGATGAGCCAGGAGATGCATTTGCTGAGGACCTGGCCTGGCTGCCGGGAGGATGACGTGGTGACAAGCGATGACGAGCCATGGCACGACACACCATGAGCCGAGGCAGGACAGAACAGGAAGGCTGCTCTGTCCTGGGGCCAGACAGCTGAGCCCCAGCGGAAGAGGCTGAGCCCCGGCCTGTAGAAGCTGCGATGCCAGCTGCTGCCCACCCCAGGGAGCCACACTAGACTCTAAGGCATGACACCCCCAGCCACGGGTCTGGTGCCCCTGGAAATACAGGGGCCCGGGGCCAGGCAGCCGGTGCCCCTCTCAAGGGCGTGAGTGTCTGCTCGGCCGAAGCCTTCCCTGCCCGGTCCACACACCCTGGAGATCGGCCACCAGGGCTCCCAGAACTGCTCCTGGTTGTGGCAAAGGCCAGCGGTGGGGGCCCATGGGATGTCAGCGCCCTTCCTAAGATGTCCCCTCTCCGGACATGCAGTTTCAGTTTTGGTGACAGCACTGACGCTGGTGACAGATCTGATAATAGCGACAGGAAGTGGGCTTTCCTGAGAAACGGCCTTACTTGGTCACACAAGATGCTGGTACCTTTTGTCACTGCCCTAGGTCGCGCTTCTCCCTGCTCAGACAGGTCACCCTTTTCAGACGGGAGCCCTAGAGAATTCAACCCCGCTTCGCAATGAGCTGTCTTTTTGTAAGAATGGAGAAAAGGAGCCCTCGTCTTGATTGAACCCCGGAAGCTCCAGTCATAGTGCGGGATGACACAATGGTGTCCCTGAGATTCGGCTGCCCCTTGAAGGGCGGCCTTGGAAGCCATTCTGCCAGCAGCACGCAGGGGGCCGGGGGTGTAGCTCCAGGGTGCAGTGCCCGCTCAGTATGAGCAAGCCCTGGGCCCCATCCCTAGCACCCCTCACGTGCAGCGAGCACGCCCAACACATGGTGACCACTGCAGCTGGACCCAGAAATGAGGGTGGAGGGAAGCAGTGCACGGGTGGGCGTGGGGCCAGGGCAAGGGACGAGATCCACTCATGAAGTGTAGGGTGTCAAGAAACCTCATCAGGTGGAACCCCGGGTGCCCCTTTTCTATACACCATGCCCTTGAATTTTGGGTTTCACTGGGGCCTTCTGCCTTCCCCAGGGTGCCTAGGACTGAGCATGGGGTGGGGGCAGGACACCCTCCACAGTCAAGAAGGGCATATTTCCAGGTACAGTATCTCCGGCACATCTGCTTTAGCTCGAGGGTGACAGAATCAGCTGCATAACGGGCAGCAAAGTGACCTTCTGGTCCTGCCCTTCTGATAAGGGGTCCTGGGCTCCCCTCACTGGCCTGTCTCCTGCCTCATCTGGCGGCTCACAGCATGGGGGGCAGCGAGAGGAGTGGCAGGGAGGGGTGCCCAGCTGCTATACTGAAGCCCTTGGTCGGGCAGCTTCTGCCTGGAGAGGAGAAAGCTTAAATTTAGCAGCAATGACCATGCCCAGTGCTGGGGTGGTCTGTCTCCCTCGTCCTGGGCACATCTTTCATGGTGATATGGAACTGAAGGGGCTGCTTCTCCATTGCCCTTGGTGATCCCTCTCATGGTCCCCAAGCCCTTCCACCATCCCGCCTGGCTCTTCCCATCCAAGGGGGACCTTGCTTGTTCTGCACACATTGCAGAGGTCTGGTCCCGGAAGCCTCCTTGGGTGGGTTAGTTCCTGCTCTGCGGTATCTAGGGCCTCCCAGGGGCCATCTACCCTGAGAGTGTGTTACAGGCCCAGCCGTCCCCTCACAGGAGGGGAAACCAGACTTAGATGGAGTGACTTGGCTGATGCCATGGGGCTCCAGGGTCAGCGCTGCAGTGGGGGCCTGCACTGTGGCCCCGGTGCCCAGCCCTCATGAGCCATGTGGCCTTGCGTGGACTCCGAGGTCTGCTGTGGGGAGGCTGTAGCAGGGCGTGATCCTCAGTCCGGCTTGGTGGGAAGCTCCGGCCCCATCCCTGGCTGTTCTTGGTGGGCTAAGATGGGTGGGGATGTGTGAGGCTGTGCAGGAGCCAGGACAGAGACTCTGGCCCTCCCTGGCTGGGAGACTACTTACCCCTGTGCCTCAGTTTCCTCACCTGTGAATGGGCCCCCGGGCAGGTCCACAAGGTGTGGGGGTGCCCACTAGAGCAGGGCCCAGCACCTGAGGTGCCATCAGAGCCTCTGGGCCCCCGTGGGGATCCCTCAGCTCGCCCCGGGCCAGGCAGGCAGGAAGTCACAGCACCCCATGACATTACTGCGGGGTCCCCCACACTGGCCAGCAGCTGCACAGGGCCCATGCCTGGGACTTCTGGGACCCAGGTCTGGCACTTGGAGGGGCTGCACCCTCCCGTGGGGATACACTGGAAACCCTACAGCAGGAGCCAGGTCTGGTGGGCATGGGGCCAAGGTCCCCACTGTGGTTCTTGTGGGATGGAGGAGGCAGGAGCAGCTGGAGCAGCTTTCCAGAGGTGGGGATGGCAAGGAGGCTCCGAGCAGACGGAGCGCTGTCACCTGGTTCTCTGCCTGCTCTTCCAGGGCCCACCATGCAGCACACTGAGGCCAGCACCTGCTCCCGTGCTCTGCCCAGCATCTGTCTCCCTCCACTGAGGACCTTGGAGCTGCTGCACCTCTGAGGCCTGAGGCCTGCAGGGGCCATGGAAGCCAGGCCAGGCCACCAGGTGGCATTTCAGAGCCGTGCCGTCGCCTGCCAGTGTCCAGGGCCAGGCTGGGACTGCACAGGCACCAGACGGGAGATCCTGGAGGCCAGGCTTCCAGATGCTGGGTTTAAGTTTTAAATGAGTGTCCACTGGGTTACAGCTGATGGCAATATTTCAGACTTTAAAATCAAAATGGGAGTTCGTAAACAAAGTTTTGGATTAGAAGAGTTCACATTTAAAAACCTCCAGGTTCCTGGCTTTCCTGGAAAAATCAGGTTGTACTGGAGAACAGCAGCAATCGGATGAATGTGGGGATGTGGCTCCTGGAGGGCCCCCCATTCCCTGTTGCTCCCCAACATCGGGTCCTCAGCACTGGCTTCAGCTCCCAGCATGCCCTGGTGAGAGGGGGTGTCACTAACTGCTGGATGGAACCCGAGACTTCGGCTTGCATTGGATTGATTGGCTTGGAGGCCAACCACCCCCACCCCCACAGTGCCTCTGTCCAAATGGAGGCCTAGATATTTTATGCTGCAAGTAAGAAATGGCCACATACTGGGTGTGGTGGTGCACGCCTGTAATCCCAGCACTCAGGAGGCTGAGGCAGGAGGATCACTGTGAGTACATAGCCAGCCTGGACTACTCAGTGAGATAGCCTCCCTCCCCACCAATCACAACATAGAAGTGGCCACAGTACATAGACTCGGTCAGAACAAGGCCCTTTACTGCCCCTCTGCAAAAACCATCCAAATAAATACATAAGATGGTGATGACTGCAGTGTGGCCAGCTTCCCCTTGGGGTGGTGCCCTGGTACAGTGCGCAACTTACACATCTATCCCTGGCGGTCCTGCTCCCATAGGAGGCAGAGGACTGTGTGCCACAGCTTCCTCCCTCAAATGTGGGAGATGAAGACCTTGAGGCCCCAGGAGGCCCCATTCCCAGGCTCCCCCATGCAGCTGCCCTCAGGCCTTCACTTGGAATCCGGGTTTTATAGAAGCAGGCTGGGGGCTTTCCCCAGTGGCTACAACCTGTAAGTGCTGCAGTGAGTGCTGATGAGGGATTCAAATTGACCTTGGCTGTGGCCTGGGAGTCAGTCCCTTGCTGCCAGGGTGGGGCTGAGTCCTTTCTCCTTGGGCCCCGGGCACAGAAGCCTCCCTGCCACTGCCAATGGCACCTGCGCCCCGACTCCAGGAGGTGGCTGAGGGCGGGCAGGTCTGGGGGTGGCTCTGTGGGTGCTGTTCCGGGTGGTTCCCAATGCCAGGCTGCCGGGCACCTAGGCCAAGGCCAGTGCACACCAGGCCTCCTGGCGCAGGGCCCCGCCGAGGCCCACCTGGGGGCCCAGGGCTGTGGATGGGAAGGCGAAGTCCTCAGGCTCGAACTTGAACTCCAAGTGGCTGGGGGTCAGGGGGTCATCGGCCGGGTCAGAGGTCTGTAGGGAGTGGGTGCACAAAGATGTGGGAGCAGCACCCCTCTCTGGGAGAGGGGTGGGAGCTCTCGTGACAGGGTGACTGCCCCAAGGACCCCAGCCCTGGAAAGGGGTGGGGGCGCCTCCTGAGGACCTCTCCTTCAGGCACCATGGCTGTGGGGGCCGGGTCTATGCATGGCCCCGAGCTCGGGACAGACCTTGGGGACGGCTCACAGGGCTCTGTTGGGTCTAGAGTCCTCGGAGGAGGAGAGGTGGGGCTCCCTGGGAGGGACATGGACCCAGCCTGGCTGTCTGCCCCAACTGCGCTTACCTGAGAGGCGATGCTGGGCCCGGCACATGCTGGGGATGCCAGGCTGGGCTCCGCTTTCAGAGTGGCGGCTGAGCTCTCGGCGCTGGGGACAGTGGGTGGGGAGGCCCTGGCGTTTGTTTTGGACCCTGGGAGGGCAGGTGGGGCACTTACAGAGGGTGCCAGATCTGGCCATGCTCCCCTTCCGACCTGGCCCAGAGGTCTGAGACTTCTTCTCTCAGCCACACAGCACAGGTGCTGGGCGAGGGCCGAGGGCCGAGGGTCTCCCCACGCCTCGCTCTGCATCCTGCCTTCCCAACCAGTCTCCCCAGGGCGGAGTTGGGTGTGTCTGTCTCCAGGGGCACAGAGTGCAGGCCAAACACACGCAACCCTAGCGTGGACCTAGCATGGACCGGAGGGAGCCAAAGGCCTCCAAGCAGGGGCTGGCCAGCTCAGGGTCGGGAAGCAGGGCACCCTCCCAACTCCCACAAACCTGAGGAGCCTTTGGCCTTGGTGATGCCCTTTGGCTTCCGTTTCCTAGTCTGGATGCTTTCCTTCTTCATCGCTAGTGGCCTCGGCACCTGGCGGGGACAGTGGGGTGGACGGCCGGTCCCAGCCCTGCTCACCTCTGGGCCTCTTGCACGCACGGAGGCCCTACGGAGCCGGACCCTCCCGGGCTCCGGGGCTGACCCAGGTGCTGACTGGGCTCTTTCTTCCCAGCCAAGGTGAGGAGCTGTGGGCACAGCAGTGGGTGCCTGACCCGACCTCCCGCAGCACCGCTGGGGTCGGGGGGCCTGGGATGCCCGAGCTCAGCCTGGGAGGAATGGTGTGGGAGAGCCAGTCTGCACAGTGGGCGGGACGAGGCAACCAGCCATCCGGCCATGCCCCAGCACTGGCCAGGGCGGGAGCTGGCCCTGAGGCTGGCAGAGGCCACACTCACCCCATGCAGCTTCATGTAGAGGCCGCAGGCGTTGCACACGGGCTCACCCTCCGTGTTCCGCCGCCAGAGCGTGGTGTGGGTGGTGTGGCAGTTGGTGCAGCAGAGCCCAGCGCGGCGGGACGAGGACTGTGGGACAGGAAGCTGTGAGACGCACTCGTGGGGCAGCAAGACTCAGCGCCGGGGCTGAGCAGCCGCCAGGGTGGGGATCCCTTGGGGCCAGGGGAGGCATTTGGTGCGGAGGTTGGGAGTCCACCCTGGTCTGGCCTGGCAGGACACGGTGTCCCTGGTTCCTCAGAACTGCAGCTCACCAGCCCTGGAAACCTGGGAATGCAGCTCACCTCCTGGTAAATGGCACTAGGAAGCCCAGCACAGGCTAGGAAAGCCAGGAACAAAAACGCAGTTGCCATTTTCTTGTGATGGCTCTGAATCACCATGCTGTGCTGAAACCCGAATGTCTGAGGCCAAAGGGTGGGGCTATGGGCCTGTTGCTCCCTCTGGACAGCTCTCTACTGAGCCTGCAGCTCCAGGCTCAGTGTGGCTCTCTCTTGGCTGGTACCAGGGCTTGCTTGCCACACCCCTCCGCCCCAAGCCCTAGGCTCGGAGTCAGAGCAAGACTGGGCCACTGAGGCCTTCTGCACGTCCGACATGTCCACCGCGTCCCCCTGGCTCCCAGCAGATGGACCCCGGGATCCCACACCTCCCTGCAGCTGGGGCCTCTGGGGCTGAGTCAGGGGTCCATCAGGGCTCAGGAATCTGGACCTCACAAGGCCCGGGCAACTCCAGGAGCTGTGTTGTCCTGTACCATGCAGTGCTGGCTGCTGAGGCATCACTCCTGCGGGCTTACCACAGCCTCTCCTCAGCCCTGGACCCCAGCTGGCCCTGCCGACCTACTCTCAATGTCTGGGGTGCTGGCCAGGGTCCTCTGGGCACCTTGGCCAGAAGCCTGCCCCCTTGCTGTGGCACCAACCTTCCCAGCCCTTCCCCAGCCCTTGTCCCTAGAGGGTGCAGCTGTCCCCGCGGGGCCCTGTCCCTGTCCTGAGTAACACCTCTTCCCTAAACTGGAACAGCGTCTGGGGTGTCTGCAGGGTCCCCGCCTGTCTTCCCTCAGCAGCCAGCGTCCCGACTGGTCAGCAGCACCTTGGAACACAGAGTCATGAGATCCAGGTCTCACACTCTATGCCATGTCCTCCCTGTGTTCTCTAGCCCAGGACAGAGCCAGAAAATAACTAAGACCATCAAACCTAGTGGAAAAAAGGATGCACCCTGTGGCATCAGGGTGAGTGTACACGGCAGCCTCAGTTTCCGCACTGTCAGCACTCTGCAGTGCTTCCTGGGCAATGACCGAGTGTGCCAGCCTTGTGGACCATCTCCTGCCCGCTCCCCTAACCCCAGCTGTGGCCAAGGGCAAGGGCCTGCCCCTGAGGACAGCCTGAGAGTGAGAGGGGGGAACATCTGAAGTCCTAAGCACCAGCCACGCCCCCAATCCTCAGGGACACATCCTTGTCCCACCCCATGCTGTAGGCAGCTGCTGGTGGCCTGGAAAACTACACCTGCTTCTTCTGGGGAACCTACCCAGGGTCCGCAATGAAGGAACAGGAAGGAGAGGAAGGGACCGGGCTAGAGAGCTCCTGTCCTACTGGCGGGACCCAGGGGACAGGCGCTCTGTGCACCAGGGTCTCCCAGGCCAGGTGGGGTGGGACTTGTTCACCCCAGAGCAGAGGGAGTTGGCAGCTCCTTGAAGGGCAGTGGCACCTCTGGTCCTGGGGTGGATGGTGGGCACCCTCTGAGGCAGGAGCACTGGTCTGGGGCTTGTCTGTCCAGGCCCTCTGTCCCTCCCACTGCCTCTCAGGGGCAGGTGCTGTGGACACGCCCTCTGAGCCCTGGCGCCTACTGTCCAGGGAGAGGCCTAGAATCTCCCAGAGCTCCAGCCATCCTCTGCTTCGCACAGTGGGTACAGCCTTGGCCTTAGTGCCTCCTTTGGGGGAAGCCTGGCTAGTCAGGGACAGTGAATATTTTGTGCATGTTGCCTGCGACACTCGAGACATTAAGTACAGAAATACTCATTTACCTGCAGCCACACTTAACTGGCTGTCCTGCACTCCAGTCCTTGCCCCGCTCTGAAGCCCTTCTGCAAACCAACAGGACCCTCAGGCACTTTAACCCATGACCGCGCTCAGCACCCACAGGTACATACACACTCGCACACACTTGCACACACAGCCCCCGACAGCTGCCTGCCATGGGGACCGGTGACAGAGAGGTGCAGAGCAAGTGGCCTGTGTGCAGACACAGGCATGCAGGATGCACACTAGCCTGCCACCCGAACCCTGGCAGTGACAGAACAGCCTGGAAGCCACATTTGGGTACTTTAACAGTTACTGTGTTTTACTTTTACAAAATTACAAAAACGGGGAGGGGAAGGGAGGGACAATGACCAAGAAAAAAAACAACCTCAAATTACTTCCTCATCTGCCTTTTCTTGTGGCCTCAGAGATCGCCTCTGTACAGATGGGAGACAGGCCCAGCGAGCCGAGGCACCAGAGACGGGGCCTGAAGTGAGCAGAACCACCTCCCTCCCTGCCCTTGACTTCCCACACCAGGGTCTTGCTGCTGCCACCCACACAGGCCCGAGCCTCCCTGTCCTTCCTCACTTCTGGACCAGTAGCGAGGTCTGGTCACTCTCAGGCTGCCCAGTGGCCAGGCCTCTTCTGGCTGCATCTTGTTCTCAAAAGAAGTTAATCTTCAAAGCCTGCTCGGCCGAGCAGAGCCACGTGGATCTCCAGGCTCTGCACTGAGACTTCCAAATAAGTCGGTGTGGACAAGGGCGCTGCCTAGTCACAACCGGGAGGGTGCACGGCTGGCGTCAGAGCCCAGGGCCCACAGTGCTGCCAGTGGCAAATGAGTCCCCTTTTGGAGACAACACAGTGGACATAACTGGCTAAGACGTGTAATTCCTGGACAGCTAAGGGCAAGCTGACTCCATGACAAGAGTCCTGCAGGTCTGTGCAGGAAGAACGGCGTTTGGTGAGCAGTCGAAGGTGGAGACCCACCGGGGACAGGTTCACTCATGCGGAAGGGAGCGCGGCCCCACATGACTGGCCCTGCTTGGAGCCAGCCTTAACAGTGGGGCTGCTGCCTCAGCTGCCCAGTCGAGGCTTCACAGGGCCCAGGCAGCTTCTGGTCATGCCCCGAATGTGGGCATCAGGTGGTGGGAGGGGCGTGCAGCACAGGGATGCTGAGGAGGTGGGAGCTGGGGCCCCTGACACTGCTCCCCTCCCTGGCACCCCGACAGGAGCCTCACGTCCAAGTGTGACACACAGGGCATGCAAGGCCCAGAGAGCCACGGGTCCTGTCGGGGCAGTGTCATCTCCCTGTGTTCTTGGTGACACTTCTAAATCCTTTGCATGGGGGACAGGACAAGTTCTTGCTAGGGAGCCCCTCGGGGCATCAGTTCTGGCTGCACTCAAGGGAGCAGCGGGGCACAGCTAGGGAGCTGCAGGGTAGGCCTGTGGGGGTGACCAACCCAGCCTCTATGGCCAGGAGGCATCTAGGCCTAGCTCTGGCCTCAGGGCTCTCTGGGTTTCGGGGCCTCTGCCCAGCCTGGCTGTCAGGACCAGCCTGTGGGCAAGTGGTAGTGCTGAGTCCCTGAGCCATGAGGTAAGCAGCCTGGAGCAGGGTAGGGAAAACCCTAGGGTCCTCCGGGAAGACAGCAGTGGGCCCTGCGAAGGGCTGACTTGGCAAACACCTCCTGGCTGTACCACGATCAGGTCTGGATGGGCCCGGACACAGGAGTGACTTCGTCATCCCCACCCGCGGGGCCTGTGGCCTTGGGGACAGTGGCAGGTAAACAGGCCCTTTACCCAGGAGACAGCCCCACAGCCATTACCCATGTCTCCCAGACCAGGAAACAGGCCTCACTGTCCCTGGAGCCTGCTCGGGGCTCTCTGAACTCTCTGCCTCCATGGTGCCATTTATCCTGTCTGACCAGGCATGGACAATTCCAAATCCATCTCCCACTCTCAGATAAGCAGGCCAAGGCTCAGAGTTCTGGGGAGCTGTCCATGCAATGCTGCAGCCCATGGCTGGGGTCCAGTCCTGGGCTGGAAGACTCAGGGCACGGCTGGCCAGGGCCATCCAGTGTCAGCTGCTTACAGCTGTGCACCCTAGGAAAAAGTGCTCAGCCTCTCTGAGCCCAGGGCCATCCTCTGGGCTGATGTAAAGGCAAACGAATTACTATGTCTCAGTGCAGACTGGATCCCCAGTCAGGAATTTTCTGGTGGAGGAGAGCAGGGAGGTCCCACACCTCTGTCCCCAGAGGAGACAGGCCAGCTTTCCCTGGCCCCTTCCCTGCTCACCAGTGTGTTCTGGTATCTGGTCCAGGGTCTGGCAGGAGGGGAGGGGACAGAGCCTGCTGCCTGGGCCGCCTGGGGTGTAGTCCCACAAGACCTGGGGAGATCCTACCCTGTCAACCTCAGTTTTCCTGTCTCAGAGGCCAGAGACCAGACAGGCAGCAGGTGCGGGGAGGGGGCCATCTGCTGCAGGACGGGGTCAAGAGTGATGTGTGACCTTCCTAGCAAAAGGCACAGTGTGGAGGGAGCCTTGTAGATTCCCAGGCCCTAGGCCAGCTCAAGGGAGAGTGGAGGCCTGGCTGCCCAGAAGCCCAAGCGCTCCCCACTGCCTGCTAGCCCTGGCGGGTTGCTCTCAGGGTCCCCACAGGGCTGAGCTACCGCAGAACCATAGCCAGGCCTCCATGCAGGCGTCACAGAGACCAGAGCACGACCTCCTTGTTCACAGGGTGCCGACCTAGGGGACACGACTGCTCCCCGCCCTGGGGCCCAGTCCTGCACGGGTACACACTGTCACACCTGAGGACCTGGTGCTCCAGGAACACCCTGCCAACCCCGAGACCTCACGGACATCAGCGAACCAGCACACATCAACATCCCAACGTGCTTAAAAACTTGAACTTGAAGCTTGCCAGGTTAAGAATGAAGCTGCTTCACTCACACTCCTGTGCAATTTCTGGCGACAACCAGAGACCTCCTGCTCCTGACACACACTGGGAAGAATCGAAAGTGAAAAGCTTTGCTCAACAAGGCTGAGAAGAGGCAGAAGATGCCTCTCCTGGGGTCCAGGAAGTATGCGTAGGAAGTGCTTCCCAGAGGTCTCAGATCCAAACAGCCTCCCACTTAGGATCTCACTGTCCCCAAGAGAGCACCTAGGAGCCACTCCCTCGGCCCCATCCCGAGAGAGGTCACTTGAGGCCCTGGCTCAGGGCTGAGCTCCTGGGGCCACTGGGCCCACAGCACTCCCTGGCCTGCCCATGGAGAGACTGCCCCAAACCAGGCCCTGGCAGAGGCCCCAAGGTCTGAGCAGCCAGGCAGCTGAGCACTAACCCCGGGGAGCAGAGATGGGGCTGCTGAGCAGGCACCTCCCCAGGAGCCCCCATCTGACCCTGCCTGCGTCTGCAAAGCCAGGGGAGGGAGCAGAGCTGCCCACATACTCCAGCACGCTTAGTCCCCCACCTGACTGACCCCTGGAGGCTACCGCAGGCCCAGGGGTGCAGGGGAGCCAACCATGTTGGTGACACTCACCAGGCGCTTTTGGGGCCGCACGAGTGGCCGGTTGACACCGTTCATCTTGTGATAGAGGCCGCAGGCGTTGCACAGGTAGTGGCCAGTGCCGTCGCGGCGCCACAGCGGGGTGGACAGGGCGCCACAGTTGACGCACTCTCGGCCCTCGCCAGGGAACTCTTCCAAGAAGTCGGGCACTGCGGGACAGGCAGCTAGTGAGTGGTGAGCCCTCGGCTTGGCCCTCCTCAGGAGCCCAGTGCTCCGGAGGGACTTCTCTCTTCCTTTAATTGTGCAGTAAACTTCTTCTATTCACACTTTTATGTCCTTGGTCTCATTGCATTTTTACTTTTAATTTGCACACAGTAAAACTCGTTAGCCTCTTTCTTATAGGTAAGAGTATGAATAACAAGCCAAGCCTTAGGGTGGCCCCCTCTGGACCAGAGTCCCCTGCTGGATTTCTGACCGGCTTGGGAACCAGAGAGGGGGCAGATGCAGGGCTCTGTCCAGTGAGCGTGCGGCCAACCCGGCTGACCCCTCTGCAAAGTAAGCGAACCTACAGGGGTGGTGAACCCCAGCCAGCCTCAAAACCTCACGAGGGCTTGGACGGCCTACTGTCAGCTTTGTTGTGGTTGCAACCGCTGTCCTCCTTCCAGAGGGCTCCCAGGGCTCGCTGGTCCCCTCCCGGCCGGGCCAGGCGCCGGCGACGCTCGGGCGGCGGGGTGCCGGGTGGGGGCGGGGCGAGGATCAATCATCACCCAGCCGGGGGTGGGCGCCAGGCGCAGGGCTGAGTGGGGCGCCCGGTCAGGGGTCCCCGGCGGCGGCTGGCCGCTGCTCCTTCGCCCGTTTTCCTCTCTGGGGTCAAAATCCGCTCCCGAGAAGCGCGGAGGCCCAAAGGTCCCCAGAAAGATGGTCCTGGGGACCCCTGCGGTGAGCACAGAGGTGTGGCCTGGCCTTCCTCTCGCTCTGCGCGCCAGAAAGAGACTGTGCCCCGAAGGTACTCAGAACCCGGGTGGAATTGGTCCGCTTTATAAACCCGGAATCTGATCGCCTACGTTTATGCTCCCTGAGCGATGGAAATCCAGTCCCAACGTAGAATGCAAACATTCTAGACCAGATGCGTGTAGCGACTTAGTCTGGTATTCTTAACTTAGTAGATATCATTTGCAAAACTTTTCATAAACCAAAACAAAAGAGGTTTAAGGCGACCCGAAACGCTGTTTGGGGTTCAGATGAAAGGCAGAGGTGTGTGCACTTTCCCTTACGGTGAGAGAACTCTGGGTCCAGGCTTCTCACCGGGCGGGGAGCCACGGTATTCCCAGGTTACTGGCCCCGAGGCCGGGCACTTCGCAGGGCGCGGGTTCGCCCGCGCGGCCGCAGCGCCCCGTTAGCACCCCCGTCCCAGCCCCAGCACTCACCGAAGGCGGCCCTGCGGCCTGCGAGCCCAGCCGGGCGGCCCGGCAGGCCGTGTAGCGTGCTGCCATCGAAGGGCCCGGCGGCCCACGACGGGGCCACGTCTGGGCTCACGTAGGGCGAGTAGGCGGCCGGGTACGAGGCTCCCACGGGCCGGCCGAGGGGGGCCGGGTACTGCTCGCGGGGCAGCAGCGCGCCCTGGTAGGCGCCGCCGTCGCTGCCCGGGGCGGGCGGGCTGTGCGCAAAGGGGAAGGCGGCGGCCCCGGGCGGCGCGGTCGGTGGGTGCGGGCTTCCGGAAGCGAAGGTCGAGGGGTCTGCGGCGGCCGCCGGCGCCCAGCCCGCGTGCGCGGCGAGCGCGGGGGGCTGTGGGCCGGGCTCGCACGCCGGCAGGTAGGGCAGCATGGAGGGGACGCGCGCCGGCGGCACGAACATCGGGGAGCCAGCGCCCGCGGCGTGCAGAAAGGCGCCGGAGTCGGCGTAGGCGGCCTGGCCGGGGCTCGGGGCCAGCGCCAGGCTCTGGTACATGTCCACGGGCGCGGCCCCAACCTGGAGGAAACAAGGGCGGGCGTCGCAGTCCCTGCCACTGGCACCCGAGCCGGCGCCCGCCTTGTGCCCCGCAGGTGCCGCGGCCTGGCCGGCTCTGGGCGAGCGCAGGTTCCGGGACCCGCGGGGAGGAGCTGCCCCGGGCGGCCTGCGGGGCTCCCCTCCCCACCCAGGCCTCCCGGGGCTGGAAAGGACAGGGCCGGGCGCCCGCGGGCGCAAGGCCCCGCCGAGGGACCCGTGGCTCGGGCGGCGCGCACCGCAGGCCGGCGTGGAGCACTCACCGGGGGCGGGACGGCACGGTACCGGCTGCGCAGGGTCGGCGACCGGCGGGCCGGAGACTGGGCTGCCGGGCCCGAGCGGCTCCGCAGGGACTCCCGCGCGCTGGGCCGCCTCCCTCCGCCCGCCCCGCCCCCGCGCCGCCCCCCGCTCCCGGCGCCCGCCCCTCCCTCCCCGCGGGGTCAGCGCCCGGGCTTTGGTCGCGGGGCCACGTGACCACGGGTGCAGGCCGGGCTCGCGGGATTCGGCGGCAGGGACGGGACGCCGGCACGGGCTCCCACAGCTAGGCCCGGGCAGTTGCCGGCGGCGCGAGTGCGCGTGTTCGGAGGGCCCGGAGACTTGATTTCGTTTGCGGAACTCACAGGTCCCGGGGCGCCCGCGCAAGGCTGGCTCAGCGGCGGGTTGCGTCTCGAGGTTGGGTCTCGGACCCCGGAAGGACCACACCTGTGGACGCGCGGGCCTGCTAGTCGCGCTTCTGAACTCCCGGCCCAGATCCGGATTCCTTGACCGCGGCTTGGGCCCGCGCTCGGTGTCCCGGCCAGTACGTGCGCGAAGCCAGCGAGGGCCGGTTCCTCAGTTTTGGAACTAGCAGGGATTTGGAGGCGCGCTCGGGGGTTGGCCAGGTCCAGCTTTTTGTTGATGCGGACACGCTCAGGCCACTGTCTCCGGCCTAGCTACAAGCCTCCACCCCAGCGTGGGACTTCACAATACTCTCCAGAACTTTCGGGCAAAAATGCCAGGGAGGGGTGACCCGAGTGGTGGGGCTGCGTGCTTTTCCCGTCGCCCACAGCCGAATGGTGGAGAGCCAGCCCCTGGCTCAGCTTCGCTGGTGACTTTGGTCGCCCCAGCTTCACCACCGGGCTCTGCACGGAGCGGGGCAGCACGCAGCGGGGCTTGGGGCTGTGAACGTCTCCGGTTCTCCCAGTCCGGCTCCTGTGGGCCGGGTGCGCTGGAGCAAAGTCAGGCAAGAGCGGAGAGGCCCCAGGACTAGCCTTGGGGACCTTGCCGCGGAATGCGGGTTGGCGCCATAGCCCTGGGCCCCTGGGGACTCAGCCCGGCGCCGCCTGCGTGGTCGCCAGCCCCGGCGCTGTCAGGCGGTGGAGATGGAGGCTGCGTCCGAGCCTGCCTAGTCCTCCTCCGTGCGCTCAAGTTCCCGCAGCACGCAGGGATTCCGGGTGTGGGTGGAGGCGCCGGAGAGGCGGAGCTGCGGAAGGTGGAAGGGGGCAGGGGGCCGGCACAGACTCCCACTCCCAGCCTAGGCCTGGGGAGCGCACAGACGGCTGGACCGCGGGCTCCCGGCTGCGCGCAGAGGTGCGGTGCGGTAGGCTGCGGGGGACGAGTGTGCGCCCTTGGGTTAGGGGCCTGGCCGCCACAGTTGGCTTTAGCGGCCCCCTCTTCCTTTCTCTCCCTCAGGGCCCCGGGTGGAAGCTGCTCGGTGGACTCCGGTCGTTTCTCTCTCTGCGAATGCTCGACACTCGGGCATCTCCTCGGGCCATCCTTGCTCCCTCCAGGGTGCTCGGCCGTTTTTTCTCTCAGCAGGGAGCTCACCCGCAGCGCCCAGTGGCTGGAGAGTGCGGCTCCCTCCGTAAAGATTCGCCCTAGTCCGCCCCAGAGGGACTCAGACCGCGTCCTTGAAGTGAGGGGACAGTGGCGCCTGCCCCTCACAGGGGCTTTGGGGAGGGTGAGGGGGTGCAGGCTTGTGCCCTCTTCTAGCACAAAGCGCAGCGCCGGCCTCCAAGGCCTGGGTTGCAGAGTTTATAGGAATCCGGAAAATGTCCCGTGAGCACTGGGAATGGGCAGTGAAGAAGGAAGGGGAGATCCCGGACATGCTAGGGGCTGAGGGCCCCCAAAGATATCTAGAAGAAAAGAGTCGCAGCACAGGGCTGCAGCCGCCTGTTGGGGGTGGGGCTTGAACTTTTTACTCGGGATGAAATCTGTGAAGTACTTGAATAGGAAACACCACAGTACCCAGGTGCTGCACTTTGTCCGGGCGAGATTTCCATTTAAGTCTCGCCTCAGTCTTAGTTGATGTCATTATTCCTGTTTACAGACAGACAGACAGACAGAGCACAGCAAAGTTGGCTAGCTTGCCCGGAACCACAGAGCTTTAACTAAACAAGCTAATTAAGACAAATGAAGAGCACACAGTGTGCAGAAGGAGGGAATCCCTGCCCTCTGGGAAGGGGGTTCACCTTTTTAAAAAAAACTGGAGATTGAACCCCAGAACCTTCACACTAAGCCACACACCCCTCCCCTTTAAATTTTTTTTTTGTACTGGGGATCGAACTTGGGACCTGGAGCTGTGAGGCAGGCAGTGGAGCCACTGAGCTAAATCCCTGGCAACCCCCTTTTCAATTTTGAGGCAAGTTCTCAGTAAGTTGCTAAGTTGCCCAGAGTGGGCTTGAACTTGTGATCTTCCTGCCAGATTGCCTCTGACAGTAGGGTAAAGGGGGGGGGCACAGGGATGATGCTGGTTGTCTTCGACAGTATCTGACCCCTTCCAGGTACACTCTGCTTGAACTGAAAAAAGGGGGGGGTTACGACAAACTACAAAGTTCAGCCACCCCTTACCTTCTGTTAACAGCAGGGGCTTGTTCATGGGCCTTTGTTTAATTCTGCACCCCAGGCCCCTGGCCCTCCAGACCCAGCACCTCCTGGTGCCCACGAAGCCCGCCCTCTCCAGAGGAGCTCACCAGTGCTCCCCTAACTTCATGGTCCCTCCGGTCCTTCTCCATTTGCCAGACTCCTCCATGTTGCTCAGGGTACGCAGCTCTCACAGTGCATGGACAGAGGCTGTGTGCTCCTGTCCTGCCTTCCAGCAGACGCTGAGCCCAAGGATGGAGCAGAGACCTGGAGCCGGTCAGACCCAAAACGCCACCTCCATGCTGTGTGGCCTTGGGCCAATTAGTTTCCTCCCCTTGGGCGGGGATGACAGCGCCTGGCTTTGGGGAGGAATTAATGGGACCAGGTCCCCAAGGCTGCTGGCCCGGGGTGGGGACACTCAGGCATTCAGTGGGCACAGGAGGCAGAGTAGAGTCTTGGGGTCCCAGTATCTTGGCTGCAGCCAGGTGGAGGGTGCTGGGCTGAGTGCTGAGGGCCACAGGAGGAACTCGGCCGTGGTGCCCCCCGCTGGCTCCCTAGCCCAGCAGGACCAGGGACCCAGGCAGGCTAGAAGGGAGCATCCATGTCTGAGCCCCCAGAGAGCTAAGAAGGTTGGGAGTTAATCTACTCTGTGACCAGACAGTCGAGTGCTGTGACCCCTGGACGGAGGGGGCTTGGGCGCTATGATTGCCAGGGCCTGCGTGGTCGGGGTGGGGGACCTGGCAGGCTCTGGGTTTCATTTCAGGCTGTCACTTTCCCAGCAACCATCCCCTTCTGACTCCAGAGCTTGGAAAACTTTCGCTCAGCCACATTTTTCGGCTAAAAGAAAACAGTAGCATTGTTAGGGAGAAGGGGGGCGGCAGGGTCTCCAGATGACCCCCAAGAGGGACCTGGCCCCTTCTAGTGTGCCTGGGACACAGGCCCTCCCGACCACCAACCACCGACCACTGGGGGCTTCGTGCTCCTCCCGTGACTTCTGTGAGGCCTTCCTTCCCTGCGGTGGGGATGGTTCCCCAGATGGGGTCCCCACCAAACACATGCTGCCAGTGCACACAGATGTCCTGGGCCTGCTGGGGGCCAGCACTGACCGAGGCACATCTGGGCCACCGGGCTGCCCTCTGACCAGCTTGGCAGAGGAACGTGTGTGCAGGTGGCAGCCCCTGAGAGCTGGGCGGCCAGGTCACCTGCAGAAGTGGGGCTGGGCTCACTCCCCGGCCCCCTCCACCCCTGCAAGGGGGCGGTCCCAGAGCTGGGGAGAGGCTGGGCATGGCCTGGGCTCGCTCTGCTGCCTTTGGGTGAGACCTGGGTAGGAGAGGGCCCAGGGCCCTTATCTGGTGTGGAGGGCTTGTCCTCCAGAGCTCTTTGCAGGCAGGCCCAGTGCCACTGGCCCCCAGGGTAGTAAAAAGCCGATTCACAGCCACCCACCTCTGCCCTGGCCTGCACCTCCTCCCGGGAATCCTCCTTCAGGTAGTGTCGCCTGCTGACCTCACCACTGAGCCTCAGAGCACCCCTCAGGACCTCGACACCCCGGGGTCCACAGAACAGGGTGCCAGGCCCGGGAGGTGGGTGCTCGTGGGGGTGTCCCGATTGGGGCGTGCATGTGCACAAGGGTTCATGGGGGACACTGCCCCTCTGGCTGGTGCTGTCTGGCTGGAGAGCTGGGCAGGGCAGCAGGCAAGGCGATGGCAGGTCCGACTCATTCCTTCTCTGCCTGGGCCCCTCTGAGCCCATCCTGTGCCATGACAGCCCTCACCTGGGCATTTGCTCAGTGCCCACTTACCTAAAGAGGCTCAGGAATGTGCTGCCTTTTAACTTGAAAGCTCACTGCCTTTTGTGTGCGGTGGGCAACTCTGACACCCACTTCATAGATGAGCAAACTGAGTCCACGAGTGACAAGTCCCACAGCTATGGTCCCCCCTCAGCCCCTGCTGTGCTCCCCAGCCCCATTAGCCCTGCTGCACGGCCATGCCGCAGATGCTGCCACCCCTGGGGTTCAAGACCCGGCTCCTTTCTGTCCCGGGAGCCTGAAGCCCCGAGACTTGAAGGCTCAGAGAGGCTGGGGGTGGGCAGGAGATCCAAGGCTGGCCCTGTGCCAGCCCCATTGCTGGTGTGAAGTGAGGGCCAGCGTGCTCCCGAGAACAGGGAAGCACAGCCTTGTAAACAGGCTGCACTGTGGATGACCCGGCGAGGCCTGAGTTGGCTGCTGAGAAAAGGGGAGCGGGAAATGAAAACAGAGTTTGTGGGCCACCGTGTCATGTATGTAACTGAATCTGCTTTCAAAGCCCCTCTGTGACGCTGCTCAGCCTTCAGCATGGCAGGCGATCACCGCCAGGCCACCCGACGACCTCAAGGCCAGCTTGTGGCGGGGACGATTTTTGGTTTGGGGAGGATGTAATCGCTCTCTGGGTGGGTTTATCTCCCCCACCCCAGGGAGGCAGTGAGCAGTGTGACTACAGCCTTAGCTGTTGTGAGCAATTCTACATAATTGTGGGGAAAAATCATTTCACAATTAAATTATGATTAGGTCTAGTCTTCCTGCCTACAGGCTGGCTATGACATGTCGGAACATAACTCCATTTTCCCTCTGGTCACAGCTGAGGCCTCAATGGTCCTGTGATGCTGTGATGCTCAAGGGCAGGATTACATCAGCTGAAGACATCCCGGGTCTTTGAGAACCGAGTAGAAAGGTTTCACCTGGGGAGGGACAAATTCCTTATCAATTTAACTCATCCTACCTACTGTTGTAAGAACGCCTTTTCATCTTACATCCTAATCAACATCAGATCCTTATTAAAATAAGATCGTCATGGTCATAGGACTAACGACCACCCTCCGAGTGATCTGATACTTCCTCCAATTATAAGATCCTCGTCAATTTAGGATTATTGCTGCCCTTGCCCTCTGAGTCATCTATTACTCCCTGTGAAACCAATAAATAGTGGCGAACTCAAGATTCCTTCAGTTTTGCTGCCCAGAGCAGCATTGATCGGGGCCAGAACCCAGCTTCTTCTCTAAGTCTCATTTCCTGTCTTAATTCTTTTCTTTGCCTTGTGCTGTGGTGGCTCACAGGAGACCAGGACACAATGCAGGGGTTCTGGTAACGTCCCCTTTCCCTTTCCCTACACTTAGCACAGTCCTGTAAGGGACCACAGGAGAGACTGGCTGTAAGGAGTGCCCGCCAGGGAGGGAGTGGTAGGTGGACAGCATGGGGCAGGAGGCAGGGTGGCCAGGGCCTGGCCCATCGCTGGGGAGGAGACATAAGCCCTGAGTGCAAGTGAGGCTAGACAGGGCCACTACGCTCAGATCTGTCAGCTGGCGGTTATTTCACTTAGTGACCTCATGCCTATGCCTGGTGACGGTTGGGGCAGGGGCAATAAACCAGCCTGAGGGCAACCGTGCCCCATCTGATGAGCCACTGGGCTGCGGTTGAATAAAATGGGGGCTTCCTGGGACTTCTGTGGCTGTAGGTTCTGACTTTGCTGGAGAAGATTAAAAATGCAAAGCATGTGTTACCCTGGAATTCAGGCACTTGGCTAGAAGCGGTGCCCATGGGTCCCCACGTGAGGCCCTTCCCTCTGCAGGTGGCCAGAGCACTCTTCTGCTCCACGTAGCTCAGGCCTCAGGGTCTCTGCTTACTTC